TTATTATATTTTTCCCTCTCTCTCCTCCCCCTCCTCCCCTCCGCCCCTCCTTTTTCCCCTCTCCAAAAATAAATTCTATTCCAAATTCTGAATTTCATTATAGATTCTAGTACCCCTCTCCTCTTCTTTCCTCTCCTTTCTCTTCCCCCTTCCCTTTCTCTTTCTCTTTCTCTTTCTCTTCCTCTCCTATACTCACTTATACTTATTGATATATTATAATCACTAGTTATAAATAAGAATTTATAAATCACAAATTGTAAATAATCTTACAAATCACAAATCACAAATCACAAATAATCTATCTATTTATATATATATATCCCTCGTCTCTCGTCTCTCCTCTCCTCTTCTCTCTCCTCTCCTCTACCAGTTTTTCATTTCTTATTTTTCATTTCTTCATATTTCATATTTCATATTTCATATTTCATATTTCATATTTCATATTTCATATTTCATATTTCATATTTCATATTTTCAATTTACAATTTTTGATCTATTAATTACCACTAGCATAGCAAACCACCATAAACTATAGTAACTGTAACTCAATATTCATCTTCATTTAATCTCATTTCTTCTCATTTCATATCTTCTCATATCTTCTCATATAAACATAATACATGATATCTATCCATCATTCATCATCCATCAAATCACCACCCCCTTACCCACCACCCACCACCCACCACCACCATCCATCACCATCATTAATCCAACCCTCCATCCAATCATCAGCCCAAACCCACCCCAAACCCAATCCAGCCATCCATCCATCCTATCCCATCCCCAAAGATACCAACCAACCAACCAACCAGTGTCCAACCACTCACTGTAGTCTGTCTGTACTGTAGATAGATATCAAAAAGGAAGGTCGATGCGAACGAATACCGACCAGATCAGACCAGACCAGACCAATTTAGTTTAGCCACTCCACTCCACTCCACTCAACCCAATCCATATCATATCATATCATATCATATACCGCTGATTGATCGATCGATCGATCAGAAAACGAAAGAGAAAGAGAAAGAGAAAAGAGAAAAGAAAACAAACAAGAAAGAAAGAAATTCATAACGACATAACGACATAAATCATTACTTATCACCTCAGCCCCATCTCATCTCATCTCATCTCATCTCAGCCCATTCCACCCCACCCCATCCCAAAACTACACCGCACTCTCCTGCCCCTTCAACAGTGTCCTCAACGTCAACACCTCCCTCCTCAACCTAGCATTTTCCTTCTTAACCCTCGCCGCCTCCTCACTACTCTCCCTCATCCTCGACACCAATTCTTCTTTCGCACTCATCGTCCCATTAACTCCCATCACCCCATTAACACCATTCACCGCATCATCCACCCCAACCCCACTCTTCTTACTTGCCCTCAGCGCCTTCACAATTTTCCCCAACTCCGCGTTAAATTTCTCATACAACAATTCATTTTCCGCACTACTCTCTTTATACAATTGATCCAGTCCCTTAACCTTAAACTCACTAGCTTGTAAACTCGTCTCGAGTTCCTTCTTCACAGCATCATTCCTTTCATTCAAGTCCTTGACAATAGTAGGAATTTTAGTCTCAAGATGTAATACTGCTTCAGACAATCTCGCGATATCAGAAGTTCGAGGAATAGCCGAAACGGCATTGAGTTTGGCCATTTCTTCTCCGATTTTAGAGAGCTCGTTTTGAAGAGATGCTTCTGCTTCGTTGATGGCTTTTGCTTCATTTTGAAGGCGTTCACGAAGTTTTTGTGGACTTTGAAGTCGGAGACGTTGTGGAGATTTATTTCCATTCAAATTGCTATTTCCATAGGATGTTATTGGGCGGGATGGATCGCGGGGAGTTCCACGAAGAGTGGGGATATTTGAGGAGAGAGATACTGTTTTGTTGTGACCGGCTCGCCATTGTTCCTTGATTGGAGATGCGAATGTTGTAGAATCTGTGGAGGACATGATATTCTGTGCACGTTCGGTTAAATTGCCGATGCTGCGATCAGGAGAGGTAATAGATATATTTTCTTTGAGGGCAGGTGGTGGGCTGCGATACATAAGAGATCGGTCTCTATCCATGATTGAACCAGTTGGTGGAATCTTCGTAATCTTTAGCGGCGATGGCGGAACCTTGATTGGAGATGGAGTACGTGGTGGGGAATCCATCTTATTCGGAGTAGTCGTAACAACTTTTTGTTCAGGAGACGGAGTCATGGGCCCAAGTGTCGCTTGAGCCATCAAACTCTTAAGATCAGACAAAGAACTTCGACGCTTCTTCTTGGATGATCTGGTAGTACCATTATCCTTCTGCTCTTCGGGTGGTGGTGATGCACCGATAGTACTAAGCCTCGATTTCGGTGCAATCGAATCAGAACTACCAGGTCTCTCATCAAATGCACCCATAACTGTAGGTCTATCACGAGATCCTGGTCGACATTTACGATCCGGTGATTCGATTGAATGAGCTCTTCCTAAAGATGGTTTGCTCACATATTGATCTCCAGTGGCAACACTGCGAGTAGTCTTACTCAATGTTCTCCAAACCGAAGGACGATGTTCCGCATCGGCTTTAGTACTACCTTGACGAAAGACTGTATCCGCAAATCTTCTTCGTAATGATGTGTTTGAAGTGATAGATCCGGTAGCTGAATGTACTGATCGACCTGCCACAGAGCCATAATTACTACCACCTCCAACACCAGCTCCTGGACCAAGATCATCAAACAGTTTATCGGAATCTTCGACAACACGATCCAACAAGTTGATGTAACTATGCGGTTCACCATCAACGACCAATAACTCTGCAAAGGCAACCGTAAGAGCACCTCGATCACCATCATTGCCACATCCATCTAGAAGATCTGCCAACAACTTGACGAGGGCAATAAATGCTCTCCTGTTTTGGGGTGCCATCTCTCCAAATATTGACCTAACGTATACATTGAAATCTCCTGGGAAAAGCTTGACACATCTTTCTTGTAAAGCGTCGAGAGACTCCAGAGACATAACAGAACCCATTTGTTCTTTCCATGCCAATCTCAAGAACTTCTCAAAAGCCACAAATATGACATCGAAAGAAGTCTCGGAAGCTGCTCGAGTATCGAAAGGATTTTCAATAAAAGTATTATATAAGGCATTAACAGCCAATTCGTCAGCAGCTGATCTATTTCGTAGGTTCTTTCCAACCACGTTTCCCTTTCTTGACTGGAGAGCTGCGATATAACCGGTAAACGTTTCCTCAAGTCGAACAAGAGGATTGATCGGTCTGGTCTCTTCAAAAGTAGCTCGAACACTACCTTTACCATCCAAATCTTGTATTGAGTGTAGAGATCTATTGCTACTCGTTCGAACGATTTGTGGTGATTCTAATGCTGGAATCTTACCCATCATCATAGGTCGTGAGAATTTACTAGGAGATGCCAATCCATTGATATTCGTAGGTGAGAGTGATGCCGAACTTCCGAAACCACCATTGAGTAAAGTGGAGAGCATTTTGACAGGAGAATGTGGTCGATACGATTTTGATTTATCGCCTTCGCACATAACATCGATCGACTTTAGAATCTTCGAGTAGAAAGAAGTAAAAGGCGCAGATAGCGCTGGGTTACTTATTTGATGCTGGAGTCGAAGTAGATCGGTCACTATAAATTGTTAGCATATCTCCTCGGGAATGGCAAGGAAGTACCTACCTCTCTTCGCAAATGTGACCATCAAGTACTCAGGAAGTACCTCATCCACATATACCCTATCATTAAGTCCATCTATCTCAAGTCTATATTTCTCTCCTCCTGCCAATGTTGTAACATTTGCCACGATATCAACACCATAATGACCGACGGGAGCACCCTTTGTACCCCTTTCATGATCGACAACAAGACGAACAGGGGCAGGTTCCCTTCGACCTTCAACTAATGACTCAACACCTTCAGCGAAAATCGCACTATAAAGATGGATTCCAGCCGGCTTGATTGATCTCAGACTCCACTTATCAGTTTCGCGCTCAGCCTCAGAGAATCTCCCTTCAAGCCTAGCTTTTATCAATTCTTCGCCTAATCTGGAAGCCTTAGCTTCGTACGCTCCTTGCAAGACAAAATTTCGAACCGTGGCAGCTTGATTACGATCTCGTCCCATATTTGCATCTTTCAACTCATGCAAGAAGGTTAACCAAATACATCGATTATCATCAGACGAGGTAAATCGCGTATCTCCAAGAACATGCCAACCAGTAAATGAAAGGTCGAAGATATGTTTGTGTCCACCAGCAGCTGCGGTCACGGATGCCATCATAGTTTGCGCCGAAGGTTTGTCGATTTCCGCCATCACACCTCGAGCAGTTTGCAAGCAATCCTTATTCTTCTTCAACAAAACAATACAGTCTGCGAAGAGTAGAAGTATACCTTCCTTGGTAATACCTGCAGTACTACCGGTAGTGGCTCTGACATGATAAGGAGCCGACAATTCTGCAGTATCGACAGCAGTGATGAGACGTCCTTGAGGATGTAATGTGGAAGGCCAAGCATCAACCAAATATCTTAATCGATTCACAACTTGTGACTTATCAGCCGCCGGTGGATCAAGTGAACATATCGAAGTGATGATGTCTCTCGCCTTGAGCATAGGTTGTAAAGCAGGATGTAGGACTGGAAGTGAATTGACAATATTGTCAATGAAGAGACTATATCTAGGTAATCTCTGAACTGGTTCGATTACAGCAGACCTCAGACGTTGTTCCCCTGTCGCTTGCACTCGACTCGAGAAACTACTCGGTTGCTTCATGAAGCTCGAGATAATTTGTGGAAATTCCTGGCTAGCATGGATATATTGTTGGTAGCTCTCGGAGAATTGTGGGAACCATTCGAGTAAGACTTTGGCAAAGGCCAGTGCACCTGTAGGGTCCTTCAAATGACCCGAGCCACCATAACGAGAAGAGGTGGAGCTGACCATCGGTGTCTCTAGATCTTGCATGGCTTCTTCCTCGGTTTCATCCATCACTTTCCCAATCGCTGTTAAGAATGCCGAATTGATTTGTAAGATTCGATCCAAACATCGTGGGAATAGTTTTTGTAGATCCTCTCCCGAAGGACTAAAGCTTCCAAATGCTCGACTCTTAGCCTTGGCTCGAAAATCATCTGCAATATGATTGACCAATTCATGCATCTTTATCACATAACGCTCTTCCGTATCCACCAATTCTCCCATCTCCCGTCGCAAAGCCATCTTTTGATCCTTGAGAAATGATTTACTTCTATTCAAGGCAGTAGGTTTCGAGGGAGCTCGGCGCAATTTCGAAGTTGGAAGAAATGCCACTTCTCCAAAGAGCTTCACCAGCGGTGCATATGATCCATATTGTCTCAATGTAAGATCCGGATATTCCTCCTCATCCAAATCCCCATCCAACTCCCGAAAAGGCGATATCGAACCTGGCGGAAGAACCAAATCCACATCCGCATAATTGATATTTTGTATTCGCAAAGCCGCTTCAATATCTTTTGTAACTTCCGCAACGTTCTCCACCTTCACCATCGAACTCGCCAGATCCGCCGCATGTTGTTCGCCGAATAAAGTTGGTGCCGATCCTGGTCTTTGTTTTCTCGATGTATTCGCAACTTGTAATATTAAACCACTCTTGACCACCTCTGGTAACTCTTTGAAATATTTGAATAGACCGAATGCGAGACCGCGACATACTTCATCGCCCTGTTTATCGCGCGGCAGATAATTGACGGATTCGTATAGCGGTGAGTTAGGTGAAATGGTGATGCGCTGGTAACTTTGAAAGCCTGCAGCGGTGAAGATATGGACTTGAATTCGTGAACTATTGAGGGTAGAATTGGAGGTGGTAGAAGGACCATGATATAAGAGGACGGGTAGGTTGGATAGATGAGGATCGAGGGCGTAATAGAGACTTAGATGATCGAGCGACAAAGCCAGCTCATCTGTAACTCGAACCATTGTATGAGAAAGTCGAGAGGTTGTTGAAGGGTTTGAATTAGGACTGGCTGGTCCTTGGGGTTTTGATCCGGAATCGGGGGTACTCTTAATGGTCTTCCTTCATATTACTTTCTTTATGTTTCACCTTCGTGGGTTGAAAGTTTAAAGTTCGTGATGGTGTTTCGTCAAGAAAAGGGTAAAGTATTCTAAAAGTGTTCGTGGTGGGCGTGGTGGGTGTGGTGGGCGTCGTTCTGGCTGGGTCCTGGTATAGAATTCGTTGAACCCGACTGGTTGTGTTACTCGTAACTCATAAATTGTAAATTGTACACCAATTTTTAGGGATATTTTTAAGATAGTGAGATAGTCGAATTATTGTAATAAAATAGTAAACAACACAAGAAAATTAAGAAGGCGGCTTAAGTTCAGATTGTTGATTTGATTTGTCGATTTGTTCAACCTCAAAAAAAAGCACTTTAAACTCTTCACTCTCACTGGATGATATCTCACTATCATAAACTCACATGTAAATATTTTTTCGTTATTTTTTCCCCTTTTCCTTTCTCTTTTTATTTCTCTTGCTTTTCTCTTCCTCTTCAACTTCACTTCTGTCTGAACTTTCTGTCTGATTCTTTCTTTGAAAAGCACACACACCTAGGTAGGTAGCATGGCGCATTTTCAATATGTATGTACAACACTTCAAACATAACAATTTCAGTGGATCTATCTAATACCCATTCAATACATTCATTGCCCTTATCTCATTGCCCTAGGCCCTATTAGCCTTATTAATCTATAAATCTATATATTCAATCTACAAATCAGCATCCATCCTTTGATATATTCTCTATAAAAAGAACCTTGAATGTCTCAAATCTTTCAATCCCATATAAGCGCGTCCAGCCCCTCGATTTTCCTATACGCGATGATTGGCTTGAATACTCAATCATAAACACGAAAAAGTCCCGAATTACAGGGAACTATCCATGAAATATCATCTTTGAAACCTGATAATACCCCGCCGCCGTCATTTTTTATACGAAAATAATGAGTTGTTGAGATTGAAGAGGTTGGTGATCTACTAAGGCTGAGGAACATTACATAGTATACTATACTATACCATATGCTAACAAGTCAAAAGATTATTCTAGAAAAATCAAAGATAATAAATCTCGAGGGAGGGATATATAGGTCTACCTACTACACTGCACTTACACTGCACGTACCAGTCCCGAAGAAAATCTTATACTATACTCGAGTAGTGTTCTGATCAACTCCGAGACGAGGGGGGCAGTTAAATCACAATTACGAAACAACTAATCCCCGACCATAATTAGCATATACTGTGGACTATTCAATAAACTTCACTCAATAAAGGTCGGATTCACGGGAGTTTGACATCTTTATCCGTTAACTTTCCGGGTTATTACTCATCTACGATCTTCGCCCGAAGCCACTATCAAAGAACTTCATCCGGGTATTTGGACGTCAGATTTTGGAAGTGATATCGACAAACTGCATTCTTAATTGCAATCCCTAGGAGCCCCATCCAATACAACACAATAATATAACACAAAACAACACAAAACAACCAATCACAATGTCAACACAATACTCCAACGAAATTCCCTTTTCCGCAAACCACACACAACAAGCCTTCAAATTTCTCGAATTACCTCCAGAGTTACTCGCACTACTTGAATCCGATACCCCTCCCACGTAAGCCTTCCCCGCCCCTCATTCTCACCCCAACTCCAACCCCAACCCCCTCACCTCACAATCTCAATCTCAATCCTCAATCTCAATCCTCAATATCAAACCCCATTTGCATACACAGATTGTGTTACATTATTTAAGAAGTCTTACACCATACACCGCACCGCCAAGCCAAGCCAAGCCAACTCCCTTACTAACCCTAACCCAATGCTCTAGCCTAACCATACTCCCCTCCCCCACCCCACCCCACCACGCACACCTTACTGTCCTCACCACCTCCTCCTCCACCTCCCTTACCCCCTCTCCCGGCAAAACATCAACCTACCTCCTCCGCCAAAAAAACACTTCCAACCCACTTATACTACTCGCCCCCTCCAGCACCCCATTCCCCTCGCCAAACGACCCTTCACCATCATCCTCATCCTCACCCTCATCCCCATCCTCCATCCCACTCCCATCCATAACCTGCATATCCACCATCTCCGAAACCATCGAATTAATCACCCACACGCCCGAAATCTCTGACCCCGATATCCCGCAAGACGAAGACGGTCAAAAACCACTCATCAACCTCGACTCTAAGTCCAAGCCAGAGTCTAATAAGCCCAAACTCAATAAGTGGCATGAGAAATTTGCGAAGACGCGAAATAGATAGGTAGATAGGGGGACTAGGGACTAAGGAACAGGGAATGGGAACTAGGTTGAATCATAAAGGGATAGGGCGGGGAAGGGAAAGGAAAGAGAATAAAGGATAAATATAATTATAACGATTAAGACCTAGAATAGCACAAGTATAGACTAATTCTAATACACCGTTCAACTAGGCTTGGGATTTCTTTTCATTAATTACTATAAATTAACTCAATATTCCAAGTATATAAAATTTTTGAGTATAGATTATTCAAAAGCTCAAATATTTATTTCTATTATTAGAATTTTAATATAGAGTTATGATATAATATTAATCTTATTATAAAAGAATTCTTTAAACACTCTTTTACTCTCTAAATATAGATACTAAATAGAGGCCTAGATCGAATAATAGCAAGTTTATTATTAGTTAATATCACCGCGTAGAGACTAATCCCCTTCCGGGGGACTAGTTGGAAAAGCGTAGATATAAAAGAATATAGAGTATTCTTTTATCTCCTTTGTTTTTTATTAGTTAATTTATATTGAAATCTATAAAAAATTATTTTATATTACTATAATAATAATATAAATTCAGTTCTATATAAACTATACTCTAATTGTAATATTGATATTATTTGATCTATTTCTTATTTATAATTTCTTATAAACTGAATTTATCTTATCTTTTATTATTAAAAGGAAATAGTTAATATAATAAATAATAATCAAGTAATATCTCCTTATATTCCAAGGAATTTAATATTTATTCGAAG